CTGCACCTCTGCACCCTGCACCCCTGCACCTCTGCACCTGTGCACCATTGCACCCCTGCAGAAGGCCTTTTGCACCCTTAGCCCTTCTTGGAACCTGTGTCTCTCTTGCTCGGCCTGGGCTCTACTTGCTTGGGACACGGCTATTCGTTAACCTCCGTGATGCCTTCAGGTCTTATTTTGCCGGGAAGCCTTCCCTGCCCCCCAGAGCCAAACAGTCACTCTCTGTCCCCACCATTGGCTCCAGTGGACCACGTAGCCCGTTCAGAGGCTGTTTCTCCCGCCACGTGGACCTGGCAGTCAGTGAGCTTAGGGAGAAGCACGGGTGCCCCCTTCCATCCCACCGTACCCCCGGGAACTGCGTGGGATGGGGAGGTTGTAGGTGGGACTGCCTGCTGGAGGGCCCCAGAAGTACTGACTACTCTCCTGAGCCTGACCCTGGCCTGCCCTGGAACACCCTGGTGAGGTGTGGCCCATTTCCTTGCCTACAAGGCAGGCTCCAAAAACCTCACTCAGCGCTGGGAGAGGTGCCCCTTCCTGCTCATCCTGGGGTTTGCACTGCCTGTTTCAGATCCACTCCTATACCCAAGGCTGCCACAGTGACCGCAGCCTTGGCCACCTGTCTGTTGCTGAGACGGAGCTGTTCAGGGACCCAGAGGGCGGCCGGCAGGTGAGGGCTGGTGTGGGGCCCCCTCCTGTCTGAGGCTGGTGTGTGTTGGTGCGTAGGACTGCAGAGACGTGAGGTGGTGGGGGTTGAGGTGGGGAGGGGCCTGAGAAGGAGGACCCAGCCAACCAGCTTTGAGCTCTGGATGATTGCCCAACTTATCATCTTGCTGGTGTGGGGGACAGGCATGTCCTCAGGGCCTCCCCCAGCTCCCTAGACCATCCAGTGGTGCAGGAATCCAGACCAGCTGCTGTGTGTGCACGTGGCTGGGCATGGTTAGGGCCCCAGGGGCACAGGTATCTAGGCTGGGCTGGCAGCTGGGTGCGGGGGGAGCCTCTGGAACTAAGGAAGACTGCTTGAGGGTTTAAGCTCATGGTGTTGGTGCCTGGAGCCCACGCAGGGGTCATCTGGTGATTGAGGTGGTAAGAGGAGGGCTGGCCTAGCGTGCCCCACACTTTGCTGACTTTCTTTTCAGGAGACCCTAATCTGTCATTGTTTCCTTCCCTTGGGTTGGCATGGCCAGGGTGTCCTGGGACAGGCCCAGGGTTGGCTGTCACTTGAGGGCTGGGCTCTGTCCAGCCTGGGGGGTACTTGGCCAGGCAGGAGGGCTGAGGCTCAGGGCTGGTGTGGCCGCTCTTTCCAGGTCCTGCAGATCCCAGCTCTGGGGTCATGTGCTCCCTTTTGTGGGGTTGGGGTAGCCACCTGGGGGTGCCTGCCAGGCCTGCTTTCCTGGCCAATACCTGGCTGGCCCTGCTCAGGCAGGGCTGCACTTGTCCCTGGCGGTGTCAAGGCAGGATCTCGGCGACCCGAGGTGCCCTTGGCTAGGTCCCCTTCTACGGGTAACTCAGCGAGGCCCAGGCTTCCTGCCCCCCCACCCCCCCGGGTTGGAGCAGAGCAGAAACTGCACCAGTTCCAGCCAGGTGTTGCCTGGGTCCCCGGGCTCTGTGGCGTGAGGGCCCGTGTGGCTCCCCCTCCTGTCCGAGGCTGGGCTGTGTTGGTGCCATGGGACTCGACGGCCCGAGGTGGATGGGGGTCACGATTGGCTTTCTTTCAAGGTTTCTGGGGGGGCACTGGCAGAAGCCTAGGCCAGTGTCCCCAAAGGGCCTGCGCTCTTGGGATGGGTCCCAGAAGCTTCCGGAGTGATCTGTGGTTGCTGTGCGTGGCCACGCGTGCTGCAGAGTAGCTGGGCAGTGAGTGTGCTTGCTTCCCGGCTGGGCCTGCAGCCTTCTCACCTCCCCGTGCCTGGCCACAGGGCAGTGGGGTGGACTGGGGGCTGGCTGCCTCAGGAGGCTCCAGCACTGGGCCCGAAAGTGGGGAGGTACAGGGGACTTGTTGCCTCTTCCTGTTGTGTCTCGCCTGAAGCCGGGGAGCTGGGAGCACCTGGGGACTGTTGTCGGAAGTCACGTGAACTGTGTGCATGTATGCGTGTGACCTGCACCCTCCCCATGTCCCACTCCCAGGCTGTGCTCCCCTAGGCCCACGGTGGTTCTGTCTGTAGGCGAGCCTCCATCCTGACCCCGGAGCCCCTGTTCCAGCTGCAGCGAGTAGGCTCCTGGCTGCCTGGCTGGCCGTCTGTTTGCTGTGGAGCAGGGGCCCCTTCCTGGCCAGCAGGGACCCCGGGCCATGCGTGCCTGTTGTGTAGGGCATGTGTACTGGCCCTCGGGCATGGTGGCTTGGCAGAGCTCTCAGCTGGCCCTTTGTCCTGGCCCCAGGAAGCCCAGCACCTCTCTCCTAGAAGGAGCAGAGCCTGTGGCCTGGCCAGTGTGCAGAGGAGCAGGGGCAGGCCTGTGGCTTCCTGGTAGGGGTGGCAGGGGCGGGGCGGGGGAGATGGGGGCGGCCTGCGCTACACCTCCGCAGTGATCAGGGGCCCTCTGGTGGTGGGACTCCTGCCTCCCCCCTCCCCCCCACCCCCAGCTTCTGGAGGCCAAGGCTGGGCAGGCGCGTCTGGAGGCCGAGGCTGGGCACGTGCGTCTGGCTCGCGTCTGGAGGCCGAGGCTGGGCACGCGCGTCTGGAGGCCGAGGCTGGGCAGGCGCGTCTGGAGGCCGAGGCTGGGCAGGCGCGTCTGGAGGCCGAGGCTGGGCACGCGCGTCTGGAGGCCGAGGCTGGGCACGCGCGTCTACCACAGCCGGAACCGGAGCACGTGGCTGTCTGTGGGCCCCCATGTCTGTGTGGGGTCTGCAGGTGTGGGGCTCTGCAGGCCCTTTGGGGTTCTTAGGTCCCACAGGAGGGGCTCCCCATCCTGGGGCTTTCTCCTCTGCCCGCGTCTTGGGTGCAGCCCCCGGTTAGTGAGGGTCCCTGTGGGGCAGAGGTCCTGAGTCGAGGGTGCTCCATGTCAGCTCCTGGCCCTGTGGGAACGCACGTTTGGGGCCGGTGTGGGGGTCGCGGGTGTGGTCGGCCTCGTGGTGCCTGGAGGTGGGGCTGCCCTGTCCTGCCTGTGGGGAGATGGCTCTTCAGGTGGGTGGCTGACGTGACCGGCTGGCGGGCCAGAGGGACTGGTGGGCATGCTGGTTGTGTTGCTGGTCCTGGGGGTCCCAAGTGGGCTTCTGACCTGGCCACGGCTTATGGTTTGCTTTGCAGCTGCTTCAGAGGCTGGAGAGTGAGAACGCGCGCCTGGAGGCCGCCCTGGTGTGGCGGCGGCAGGAGCTGGTCTTCTGGAAGTGGATGGTGTGACCGGCTCTCTCCCTGCTCCCAGCCTTGACCACAGCCTTCCTGGGGGGCGGGGGTGTCTGCCTCCTTCCCAGACAGGACAGGAGATGGGGAGGCCACATGCACACCCAACCGTGCGGCTGGCGTTAGGACCCAGGCCTGCTGGCTCGGAGCCAAGGGCCCTTCCCAGATGTCTGTCTGTCCCCTCACCTGCCCTGAGGGGTCCAGCCTTCCAGAAGTCTGGCCTTTGTGCCGCCCTGGCTCCAGGCCTGCCGGCGTGATGGGTGGCTGTCCGCACGGGGGGTGGGCACTGCCCCCGGGCCTCTGTGCCATCTGTCCCCACTGGCTGTGCCGCTGGGCCTGGGCCTGTGTTTACGGGGCCTGGGCTCGCTGCCTGCCTCTTACTTGGGTCTCTCTCTGCAGGACACGGTCCTGGGCGCCTGCCCCCTGGAGGCCTCACAGCCCACGTTTCTGCCCAGGATCCCCACGGGGGGTGCTGGCGAGTTGGAGCTGGTGGCCCAGGAGTTGCAGGCCCTGCATGAGGAGCTGCGGGGAGCAGCGGAGCCCCGGCGGGCGGCCTGGGAGGCCAGGGTGAGGGCTTGGGGCGCTGACATAGGGTGCGTTTACGCAGCCCCTTGTGGAACTCACCTTGAGTCCAAGGCTGGGAGGGCGACTGCAGCGGCCCGGGAGGGTGCGTGACGAGGAGTCCCCAGTGTCCCCACGCGAGCCCCACCCACGCTGCCCTGCTCCGGCCACAGTCCCTTCAGTTTTCTGAAGCATCTTGAGGAACTTGCGGGCAGTTTAACCCTAAAGTCTCCAGGACCCTGTGAGGAGTGGGGGTGTTGCCAGCAGCCCCTTCCCCTCTGCTGTGGTGACCGCTGGGGCGTGCATGATGCTTGTAGGCGCTTCTCACGGGCCGTCCGCCACGGCACAGGGCCTTGGGGCAGCGCCCACCGAGGGCCAGGGTCAGGCCACCACCTGGGGGCACAGCCTCTTCTCACTCCCCCGCCCCACCAGGCCAGCTGGGACGGGCCCGCCTGGAGGGTCAGAAGCGGCCTCTGCGGGCAGTGTCCCCTTGGGTCAGCCCCGCTGCATGCTTACCCCGTCCTGGGAGCACTGAGAAGGCGGGAGGCCGATTCAGCAGAGGACAGTGGGTGTGCGAGGCTGACACTGACCCTGGCCTGGTGGGTAGTGTTGGGGGGTGGCTCGAGGGTCTGCTCGGCTCTGAACGGGCCCCGGGGACTTGGTGACCTGGGTGAGCGGGTGGGGCCTGCAGCTGCATAGTGCTGCAGGGCCCTTGGGGGGTCAGGCTGCTGGCCCTGTCCCCGGGGCCCCTCCGCTGGCTCAGGGCTCCGGTGTGGGTGATGTGAAGGCTGGAAGGGCGGCGCTGGAGAGTTGGCACTGGGGCCAGCCCCCTTCCCGGGGAGGACTGGGATCTGGGCTGTCAGCCCTTCTCAGGGCGCTGCTGGGGGCTGGTGCTGGGGCCGAGGGGGCGTGAAGCCGGTGTCCTGGGCAGGCTCCAGAGCTGCCTTCTCCCCTGTGCAGGTTGGAGGCTGGGGGCCGGAGCAGACTGCTGTGCAGCGGGCCTCACGGGAGGCCGTGGGACGGGAGCTGGCCGCTCTTCAGCGGGCCTGCGAGCAAGGGGAGGCCCTGGCCCAGCCCCATGGGCCCTGCCGGCTGGTGAAGACAGACGCCAGAGCCTCGGGGGGCCCAGGCCTGCGGGCTGCTGAACTGATTGGGGCGCTGAGGAGCCGGGAAACCCGCCTGGAGGCTGTGCTGGGCCGGCTGCAGACCCGGTGTCGGCAGGAGCTGACCAGGCTGGCGGGAGCCCGGCCCGGCCTCCTCTGGATCCTGCCGCCTGGTCGCTGAGGGCCCGTGGGTGTGCCCTCCTCGAGGGGGACCTGCCCTGACGCCCTGGCTGGGTTTCGGAGGGGCAGGTTTCAGGGTGGCCCCAGGATGATGCAGACACAATCCCGTGGCGTGCTCCTCCCCCTGAGCCCTGGCTGTCCCCCCTTTGGGCACAGCCCGGGCCTTGGCTGGCCACACTGGGGCAGGCACGACAGGCCCATGTGGTGTCTGTGGGCATTCTGGATCAAGAGAGTATGCAGAAATAAGTTGTGGAGGCCTCCCTGCAGGGGTCAGGCTCTGCCGTGGCCCCCGGCCACCCTTCCAGGTTCCTGCCTGGGGAGGGTCAGGTCTGTGCTCAGGCCCAGGGGAACGGGACCCTGGGTAGTGGTGGCCAAAGCTGGGCTGGGCCAGGGCTGCCCCCATGCTGGGGGGTCAGGCATGGCCTACAGCATGGGGGGGCCTCAGGGTCCTGGGGGAAGGGATAGCCCGGGACGCCCGTACACACTGTGTCCTGGCCCCTTGCACGCCCCACCTTGGGCCTGTGCCTGGTGTGTGTGTGTGTGCTGGGCAGGGATGCTGGCTGAGGCCTGGGGGTGGGGGACGCTGTTCCTTTCCTGGGGGCGGTGCTGGGGGTGAGGGGGAGGCCACTGTGGACAGAGGGGGCTTTGTGCATGAGACTGTTCGGGGAGCTGGGCTCGGCCCTGACAAAGAGCCATCTGTGTCCGGGGGATGTGGCCCCCAGCTTGCCGGAACAGGCCCCCCCCACCCCAGGGGGCCCAGCCTCTCGGCACCCCTCACCCAGCAGGCACAGACAGCCTCATCCTGCCTCCCTTGCCAGGCTCCCCTTAGCCCAGGGCAGTTGAACCCCAGCCTGCTGCTGGGCGGGTGCAGGGGCCTATCGGCTGCCTCCTGCCGGCCAGGTCAGGCCTGAGGACACGTGGCAGGACGTTCTCTCGTTGGCTTTTCCTGGCTGGCCAGGGGTGTGCTGGAGCGACCGCTCACACCCAGGAGCACCGGGCTGGTCTCGGCCACCCCAGCCCCTCCCCCTCCCTTGTGGGGACACCCCAGTGCTCCCTCTGCACTGGTCAGACCAGGCAGACTGGTCAGGAGGGCATCCCTGACCCTCTCCTCACAGGCCTGGCCCCCGGACAGTCTCTGGGCTGGGGTCTCTCCCTCCAAACCACAGCCCCCCTCCCAGCTCCTCCTCAGGGCTCCAGCTGTGGTCCAGGGCCCACGGGGCCTCGACCCTCCACCTGCAGCCCTCCGAATGTGTGAAGTCCCTTCTGGACTCCCTGCAGCCGCCCCTCTCTGCCTGCCATGCCCTCAGCCGTCCCAACCACCGATGGGACCCTCCTCATCTGGGAAACAAGTCCACCCAGAGCCCCCTGCCTTCTGGGGACCGCCATTGAGCCAGGACACCCACTGGCCCTTGGGAACTTGAGGTTTAGCAGCCACATGCAGGCTCAGGATCACGGGACTGGCCCTTGTCAAGCTGATGTGTGGATCCAATACATGCCACTCAAAACCCTACGGTGTCTGCGACTTTGGTGTGGACTCTGGGATACGCGGGGCGGGACAGGCCCCAAGAGGCCCAGGCCGGGGGGAGGCCAGGCACACTCATGGTGGCCCGGGGAGCAGGTGCGCCCTGTGCAGCTCCTATGAAGGCCGCAGTAAGTTAGCACACGCTTAGTGGCAGGCAGGAGGCGCGGGGCAGAACCAGCGAGTCCATCCCCCACGGGCTGCCGTCTGACATTCCCCCGCCTCCCCTACGCTGACGCGACAGGTCCACCGGCCTGAGACAGCCCCTGGAACAGACGCAGGTGCAGGCTGCGGCCTGGCCTGGCCAGCGGGGGACAGTAGGGGTGCATCGGGGGGCAGTGGGGACAGTGGGGTCAGTGATGGGCAGCGGGGGGCAGTGGGGACAGCAGGGTCAGCGGGGGCAGTGAGGGGCAGCGGGGGCAGTGAGGGGCAGCAGGAGTCAGGAGGGGTGCAGCAGGGGGCAGCAGGGTCAGGGGGGACAGTGGGGTTAGTGAGGGGCGGTGGGGGCAGTGGGGGTCAGGAGGGGTTCAGTGAGAGGCAGTGGGGTTGGGGGGACAGTGGGGTCAGCGAGGGGCAGTGGGCTGCTCTGGGCAGGCAGGCTTCTGTGAGGTCAGCACAGTGGGAGCCCCCGGCTCCCCAGGGAGACATGAAGGACAGCGCGGCCGCGGGAGGCAAGGACACCACGCTCCATTAGCCGCAGGGACACCGGAGACCTGCTTCTCAGAAGACCCCGCAGAGACAAGGACAGACGAGCCAGAGTGACCTGTGAAGACTTGTGCAGAGACAGAGGCAGGCACCCCAGAGAAGACGGATCGGGATCATGTGACCCGGACCCGCTGGGTGGGCGCAGGGCCGGCGCAGGCGGGGGGTGGGGGGCTTGAGCCAGCGCTGGGAAATGCTCCGTGACCTGCAGACTGCTGCCCGCACAGCAGCTGGCCTGGTAGGAGTGGACCGCGGGCGGCACGGTGACCAGGCCTCCCGGAACGTGGGAGGCAGGACAGACAGGTCGCAGACGGTGACCCACAAGGAGACCCTTAGAGCGGGAGCCACACAGGCCAGGGAGGGGTCTCGGTGGCACGGCCCATGGGCTTCGTGGGCCTGCGTCCGCCGTACCCATGCTGGCCTCTGCGGGTGTTTTATTGAGTACGGTGCCGGCAGGACCCACGGGCGAGCCCCGCACACAGGTGCGTCCACTTCACTGGCCGCACCCACGGCCACCTTTCCCGTGCCAGCTCCAGGGTGCTTCTGGCCCTGACCTCACCACCCACTGGCTCGCTTCCTGTCCCTTCAGTTCAGGGCCTCCTCACACCGTTGGTCGACCTTGGCTGGACCTGGGCAGTCAGGACGCCTCCAGGTGGACACCTGTAGGTGTTCCCGAGGGACACAGCTGGTGGCCTGGTGCACAGCCATCCCCTCACCCTCTGCCGGTCCTGCCCTGCGGCTGTGGCCCCCAGCCCTGCATGGGTCCCCACGCTACTGTGTCCTCCACAGGGTCTTGGCTACTGAGCGCAGCCGGCCACTGTCCTCCCCTCTCTGCCCCTTCTTGGCTGAGCTGGCCGTTCCCCACTCATCCATCAACCAGGATTCACCCAGTGCCCTGGGGTGCGGAGACTAAACCCCATAAACAGGGCAGCCATGGCCGTGTCATTGGGGTTAGGGTGGTGGTCAGAGGCCTAGAGGACGGGCACCGAGTGACCCCAGGGGGTGGTCAGAGGAAACAGGGTCTGTATTTGTGGGGCTGCACAGCGCTCCGAGAGGGGTCAGGGAGGGGTGAGACGTGCTGGGGGTCACCGAGGAGGTGGTGGGGGGGCAGGCGGGGCTGGGTGGGTTCTGGTAGATTTGGGGTCCCGGGTCTGTGGCTGTCTTGGTTGTGTGGCATGTGAGCTGATGGCTCTCTTTGTTTTTCCGTCCGGTTTACTCAGATTATTATTTATAACACCCAAGATTTGTTCCCTCCCCTTTTGGGGACAGTTTTTAATTTTTGGTGGTAAAAAGCTAACGTTAAATTTACTGTCTAAACCATTTTTAAGTGTATGGGTCTAGTGTTATCTCCGGAACCTTCTCATCTTCCCCAACTGCTGCTCTGGCCCCATCCACACGCAGCCCCCCCCCAGCCCCTGGCGCCCCCGCCCCACTTTGTCCGTGTGGACGGACTCCTCTAGGGACGTCCGATGAGTGGGTCACACGGTGTGTGTCGTCCTGTGAGTGGCTGAGGTCACTCCGTGCTCGGCGCCCCCGTGGGTCAGCCTTGCGGTGGCAGGGCTCCCCCCTAAACTAAGAGTGAGGAAGATTCCACTTACGGACAGACCACACCGCCCTGTCCCTCTCCCAGCTGTCGGCTGTTGTGGATAATGCGGTGGTGAACGTGGCAAACACCTCTGATTTAGTTTTCCGGCCGTCTGCATCGTCGAGGGCCAGAAGCAGTTGTGACTGCGATGCCAGGATGTGAGCGGGAGCAGGGGCCGGACGGGCCTGGGGCTTGTCTCCCTGGGGGGAGCTTGGCAGCGGCAGGCGTTCTCCCCCGAGGTCACATCCTGGGGTCTGGCGTTGCCCTCCCCCGGGGCTCTTCCCAGTACCCGCTGCTCGGAAGAAATATCTAACAGGTCTGCTCATCGGGACCCAACAGCGTAATAGGGGTCCTGAGCGGAAATCAGGAGTCAGATGCTCCAGCGACTGAGCCAGCCGGGCGCCCCTAGTGTTCCTTTTACCAGTACACAACTTCATTCTTTGTCCTGACAACGTAGCAGGAGTTCCGAAAAAAAAACAAAACAAAAACCCAACTACCCCGTACACTGAAAACGTGAGTTCTTACATCTCTAGAATGACTTCCCTAGGCTATCGGAACCTGCGAGGCTCTGCGTGCCTTCTCAAACCTCACAGAAGGGCCAGGAGCCCAGGAGCAGAGCAGCGGGACCCTGCACCTGGCTGGGGACGCCTGGTTGTGCCCCCTTCCAGCCCCAACTCCGACCAGCCACGACATTCCTGTCCCCGAGAGCCTCCCTCAGCATGGTCTGGCTTCCGCCGGTGTGCAGGGGAATGGGCATTAAGCCGTCTCCGAATTCACCTGGCAACTGTGCACTCACCGGGAGCATCTCCGCCAGCACCTGCTTCGCTTCTCGGGTGCCCTCCGACGTGACTGCGCGGACCCTTCGGTCACTTGTGTTTGGGACTGCGCATCCCTCGCTGGTTTCGCTCATCGTAAGCATCTTCTCCATTCTGTCATCTGGTTAAACACTTGCTGGTGCTTCCGCTTTGCTGAACAGAGAGCTTAAATTCTGTTTTCGCCAGATCGATCATCTTGTTGCTTCTCGGTTCTTTCGGCGAGCGTTTGGAGACAGGCCGCCTCTCCTACACCACGTTCTCCTCCGTTTGTTTCCTTCCCTTGGGTTTTTCCTTCACGCTCACGTCTCCTGTCCTCCGGAGTCCGCCGTGTGGGTGGTGTCCTGGTTTCCCACAGGGTGAGCCAGTTCTGAACACCATCTCCGCATGGACGCGCCCTTTCCTCATTGATCTGCCCTGGCCTGTCCTCCAAATTCAGCTCCCGTCTGTCCCGCGGCTCTGTTTCTGCGTCAGGACGCAGCCTGCCGAGCACAGGCGGGAGGGGCTCTGGGCGAAGAGACGCAAAGTGCCCGTTACTGCTGGTGTAGGGAGACTCCGTGCCGGCGGTGGTTTCATTTTGGCCAGGGGCTAACGCTCCACCCGCCGGCAGCAGGACGGCAGGCATCCCTCTCCCCCTCTGCCAGGGCCACGCACCCAAGGTTTCTTCTCCATTAGCTGCTGCACTCGCCGTGTGCTTTCCGTGAAGTTTTGTGACTTTTAGAAAGTGTTCTTCCACTCTTGTTTTCCCAAGAGCTTTTTTATTTTATTTTTTTATTTTTTTAAGATTTTATTTATTTATTTGAGAGAGAGAATGAGAGAGAGCATGAGAGGGAAGAGGGTCAGAGGGAGAAGCAGACTCCCTGCCGAGCAGAGAGCCTGATGCGGGACTCGATCCCGGGACTCCAGGATCATGACCTGAGCCGAAGGCAGT